GACAATATCCTGGGCGTCACGATGCATTTCAGTATAAGGAGACTAGTCCTGGCCTTCTAACGCATCGCAATTGTCTCACTACGGCACATTCCTGTCAAACTGACGGATGATATAACCACCCCATCTGAAGTCTTCGTCTTCTGTTGGGCTGCTGTCTGTGACTATCCCATGGCACACCGCTTCTCTTGCCAAATCCATCAACATTTCCTTGACATCGGACATATCTGCCCTGAGTTCCCAGCCTTCACTGAAAGATCCTGGCTGCAGCAAAGTCACTCTATCCTCTCTCGCTCACATGTGCGATAAATTGACCACAAACAACCGTAACGAAACGCTGACTCTGTGAATGACTATCAGACCTCTAATCAAAGACTTCCAAGCATACACGTAAGCAGTCATCTTTGAGGCAGTTGAAGGAAAGGCGAAGAACACCAGACAAGCAAATCTCATGATGCGGTGGTAGATGTGTTTGGCACCTGATGCTGCTTACTCTACTCCTAAGGCCCACCTCGATAAGCTCCAAGAAGCGTGAAGAGGCACTGGTAGATGGAGTTGTACAGGAAGACATCTGCCAGCCCACATGTCATTCTCATTTTGCATTTGTAACTACAGTATAACCTTTGATAACCTTTGTAAACACAGCTTTCTGAAGCTCGTGTCGTGTCGGCCAAGAATGTGGGTCCAGTCAAATTTTTCCAAAATGGCAACACAGCAAGGCTTCAACTTTCCAACCTCATCCATCTTGGATTGGTCCCATGGCACACCAGCGAGGAGCATTCTTGCCTGCCAAAATAAGTGCAAGCAGTATGAATTGAATCTGTCTCCTCGTGTGCTTGAACAAATGCATAAACACACACAAGCGAGAGGCACACCAGCACGCACACTCACATTTGCTCAAGAAAGATATTTTCAGAGACACTTCTGCGTGCAGTCCAAAGCAAAGCACCTCAGCCCTCTCCTTCCGTCGCAGGTAGTCTCCGTAAAGACGATTTGTGACCTGAGCTGAGTAGTCAGATTCTCTGTTTGGCAGTTTTTAAATTAAAGAGTGGGCTATGACCTTGGCAGTCTTGGCTATCGTCTGTGCGAGTTGACCTCTTTCCAGGCCACCGACTTCACGTGATTTGGGCAAGTCTGTATGCCTCCTGAATGCAGGACTTGGAGAGCCTCTCTGAGACATCAAGGATATCGCTGATATCACCTCAATCATTGTTTAGCCGGGCTGAAGCAAGCACCTTTGATTCTTGGCGTAGAGGCAAACCCCTTTTTGAGCACTTGGATTGATCTCAACATGTTGCAGTTTGCCCACTTTGACCAATTCAGAGTATGGCAAAGTGCTTGGACATGAAACTCATGAAGCATCTTTATATAGGTCACTGAGGCTGTCCCCTATTGTAGATGATGTGGCCAGTTACAGGCTTGGTCAGAGCTTGTGAATCACATGTTTGTGTTTTACTCAACAGGATCAGCAAGTGAACACAAAAATCTCCTTGGAGGGTTCGGGCTCTTTGGCGAACCTGCGTTCAAAGCCAACCTTCCTTCTTTTGGCCTGGAAGTAGACATGAACCTACTGGTTCGATTTTTGCACAGAGTTGAAACACTGACAGGAAAACACCGTAATGGTTAGAATTATCCGATCCAAAGCGACATGTTGTTTCTTTCCAAACAGTACAATTGATGCAAATCTGGACCATATGCGGTACTTAAGCACTGCCTTCCTCATTGTTCAATTTGTTCAACAACTGTAATGAATACTTCACGGTGCGCTCTGTCAATCTACAGTATTATCAGTATTCGTTTCTCACTCAGGGCACACAAACACATGTGCTTACTTTGAGATTCCTGAACAGTGGTGAAAAAACCGTTTGGCGCACTTGGCAAAGAGCTCCAAAACCTGAGCTTCGGAAGTGACAGCCTTGCAAAAAAGTTGAAATTGATCAATACTTGCGTACATGCCCTTTTTTAGATCAACCCGTCGTGGCGAATGGCGAATCTTTCGCTGGGACTAGAAGGAAGATGAGATGCAATCAAAAGAGAGCAAGGAATCAGGAACACTGCAAAGGTTGATTTGAGGGATCGACAAATATGGAAACACGATCACTGCACAAAGCTTCAGAACTTCAACCTGGAAGCTTGATCTGGAAAAAATTGTTAGATAGCCAGAGCCATTGCGGCTGTTACTTCGTGGGGTTCTTACTTCAAGTATAGGAAAAGGTACCTGTGTGCGGTTTGGAGGCTGGGGGCTGGGGCCGCTGCAGGGGCCCTTTGCCCTTTGGAGCCTGCGTGCTGGTGCCGCTGCCAAATGTGTATGGCCGTGTGCGCTTTGGAGCTTGGACGTTGGTGCCGGATGCTTGTTGCTGCCAGATGCCTATGGCTGTACGCGCTTTGGAGCCGTGCTCGTGACGGTGCAGGGCGCTGTCCTTAAATATCTTTTGCTAGGCCAGGCACTAATAAGGCACTAATAGCTTCTTGTTACTACTAGTAAGGCACTTGTTCCTAGTAGCGTGGCACTTGTTACTAGTAGCTTAATTTCTATCTGGGGTCTATGCTGCCGTAATTTGTCCATGTGTGTGTTATTGATCTGAAGCTTCTGTTCTGTAGCGGCACTTCCGTGAAGCCACCGAGCCATCCTTCATTTTTCACTTGCGCTCGATGCCACATGCAAGCATTATATATATATATACACAGTACACACACACATACAGAAGGATCCCCATCATCCTGTTCGGGCTGCCCGGCACAGCTCTTCTGGAGGAGACACTCTGCGGACGAGACTGGTCCTGGCAAGCTTGCTGGTTGGATCTCGTGGTGGCAACAGCCCAAAAGGAGGAAAAAAGACCCAGGGAAAAGAAAGGTTCAGATTCAAGGGTCTAAATGCAATGGAATAGAACAAAGAGAAAAGGACTGCTGCATCCCTTGGACGAATCGTCACTAGTCCATCGGTGTGCACCAGTTCCTATGTGAAAGCTTTTTTGTCAAACACATATCATTTGAGCCAATTCATATTGTGAATACAAACAATCAGTTGAATACAAACAAATAGTTAATAATGACAATGACAATCCGGCACACACACACACACTCTGCTGTGCCTGCCGCAGAACATTATCGAAAAGCTCTGTATGATGGTCATGCTTGTATTTCACCTCAGCTTTTTTGACTGCAATGCCTCAAGGGAGTCAACTCCGTTACATAACATGAAACAATAAATTCATGGCATGCAAAGTCGTGTCACCTCAGCAGCGTACACAACAAATCAGCTCGTAATAATGCTGCAAGTTGCAAGTGTGTTCCTCTCTCGGATCGAATGGAAGCTGCAAGCTCATTTCTTGTGGGTGATGCACCTTGTTACTAGTATCGATGCACTTGTTGCAAGTAGCTAAGGGCATCACCCCAAACAATCGGATGTCTGCCAGGAAGCTGCTGAGGCTTCCACAACTGACCGGCTTGGGGTTTCTGCCTGTGCAGGGCACCCTCGCTGAAGAGATAGCAGAGGTAAAAAGAAAGAGAGCTCTCAGGCTCTCCTTCTGCTCTCGTTTTGGGAAGTGAAGGGGTTAGGAAGTGAAAGAGGAGTCGGGGGAGGGGTACGTAAGATATATATACGTAAGATGGACTGGGCGCCACAAACTTTAACAAGGGACCTTGTTATCTTTACTTTTTGTCCCGATTTCCTCCTTGTCTTGGGACGGATTTGGTTCGTGGGGATCAGTCGACAACCCACTCGGAGCGGTGTGTCGCCAGAACCTCTGCCACGTATGTGAAACAGCGCAATGACGGTGACTGGGTGGTCTTCTTTCCCGAAGTCTTTCCTTCTTGAACATCAAACAGGTGAAACATAATGACTGTGACACGTAGTACAATTCCAAGATGCCTTTGGGGACGGAGACTCGGCCAGCTGTGCCATGTTTGAGTCATTGCCTTGGCAACGAGAAGCTGCCAGTTTGTACTTTGACTGTAAACGAAGAGCGTAACAACTCAACTCAAACTCCAAGTTTCTTGAATCCATAAGGACTCTTAACACATGCATAAAAACCTTCAATCTTCAAATGAAGTCTGTGCTCATACTGACCCGTACATGCTAACTGTTGTACACTACACCCATATTTGGCTTTTGCCTGATCTCAATCACACTTGGAAGCTCAGACTTCGCTGAGCCAAGTATGCATAAAGCTCTTGGTCTGTCCTGCCACAACTTTCTGTGCTTCTCGTACTCAAGGCAAAACAGGAAAATGCTTTGGTAGAGCGCAGTAGGTAATGTTTCATTGCCAAGAATGTGCTGAGGTGCTGAGGCTGACACTCCGCATTACTAGGATCAAGAAGCTACTAGTAGCAAAGGGCATTGCTACTAGGAGCAATAAGCTACTAGCCCCTGTCCTGGTTGCAACCCATGGGCGCTGGCAACAGCTGAGCCGAACGAAGGCCTGGCCCCATTCAGCGAAGGCTGACTTTGAACACTCTGAAACCTCAAACACCGCTATTTCATCTCTTTTTCCATCCTCGCAGCACATGCTGTCTTTGTCATTCTCATTCAGAGCAATCCCTTCCGTTTCCTGTGTGGCCCAAAGATTCTCTGGGCCCTGTTCAGCAAACACTGGGAAGTATATCATGATATAAATACTCGTACCCAAATTACTTCAGTGATACAACATTTATTTACTCCAGTTCAGGAGCGAGAGGCAAGGCGTATCTATAAACTTGTCGAGTAGAAGTGAGCAGGTAGAGATATCCGTCCATCAGCAAGATGTCTTCTGGGACATAGTCGCCAGCTCTCAACACCAACATGGGAGTCTCATCACCAGGGTTGACAGTCCAAATGATAGTGCGCTCCTCCTCATCATCAAATGCAGCTATATATAGCTTTCCGCTCTCCGTAGCAAACCTTGAGTTAGCTGATCCGATGATAGGATTGGTTATACTGACTTCCGAACAAACAGTGGTGAAACATCTGGTGCAGCTCATTTATCTAATCAATGTGTAATGCAGCTCAGCAACAAAACCGTGGAAAAAATAGTCTCCGAAAAGGCGGCCCAGGATTACCGTTTTCGCGTCACCAGTGATGCGCCCAAAAACCCAGTGAGTTGGATCGCTGGATGATGAATCATCCGAATCAAAGAGGGAAGAACTGCGAACACATTGCGTGCCAACCATGTAGAGCGTCTCGTCTTGTGAAACGAAGATTCTCCGCGGTTGGAACTGTTGGGGCCTTTCGGAGTTGACCAGAATCAGAACAAGAGCAAGAAGCTATATACTAGTAACAAAGGGACTCGCTACTAGTAGCTTCCTGGCAGTACTACTAGGAACAAGAAGCTACGAGTAGGAAAGGGCATTACTAGTAGTGGCAAGAAGCTACTAGTAGCTCCTGGCACTGCTACTGGGAACAAGAAGCTACTAGTAACAAAGGGCGTCGCTACTGGTAGCAAGAAGCTACTAGTAGCAAAGGGCATCGCTACTACCAGCAAGAATCCACTAGTAACAAAGGGCATAGCTACTAGTAGGTAAAAAGGGCATCATCGCTACTAGTAGCAAGAAGCTACTAGTAACAAAGGGCATTACTACTAGTAGCAAGAAGCTACTAGTAGCTCCTGGCAGTACTACCAGGAACAAGAAGTTACTAGTAACAAAGGGCATCCCTAGTAGTAGCTAGAAGCTACTTGTAGCTCCTGGCATTACTACTAGGATCAGAAAGCTATTGGTAACCAAGGGCATCGCTACTAGTAGCAAGAAGCTACTAGTAGCTCCTGGCGGCATTACTATATACTATGAACTTGAAGCGACTAGTAACAAAGGGCATCGCTACTAGTAGCAAGAAGCTACTAGCAGCTAGCGGCACTACTACTAGGAACAAGAAGCTACTAGTAACAAAGGGCATCCGCAGTAGTAGCAAGAAGCTAAAAGCAGCTAGTGGCACTACTACTAGGAACAAACAGCTACTATTAACAAAAGGCATCCCTACTAGTAGCAAGAAGCTACTAGTAGATCCTGGCATCACAACTAGGAACAAACAGCTACTAGTAGCAAGGGCATTACTACTAGTAGCAAGAAGCTACTAGTAGCTCCTGGCACTACTACTACGAACGAGAAGCTACTAGTAACAAAGGGCATCGCTTGTAGTAGCAACAAGCTACTAGCAGGTCGTGGCATTGCTACTAGGAACAAGAAGCTGCTAGTAACAAAGGGCTTCGCTACTAGTAGCTCCCGGCATTACTCCTAGGAACAAGAAGCTACTAGTAGGTAAAAAGGGCATTAGTAGTAGGAACAAGAAGCTACTAGTAACAAAGGGCATTACTACTAGCAGCAAGAAGCTAGTAGTAACAAAGAACATTACTATATAGTAACAAAAACTGGAACCTTTCGGAGTTCACCAGATTTCTTTGTGCATTATTTTTTTGGAGGGGTAGGCCGCTAGTAGAGGTAGTAGCTAGAGGTAGCTACTATCTACAAGTAAGCTACCACTTTGGACGCAGGATAGGTCACACTTCTTCAAGGAAGCTCCCCCCGCCACCCAAGGGCAGCGGGGGCAGCTTCCTTGAAGAAGCGTGAGCACTAATGATTTGGTTCCTAGACTTTTAGGGAAACTTAGGGGCCTTTCGGAGTTCACCAGAATTGGAACAAGAGTAGATCCTTCCAATCGCTGCACTGTCCAGCTTTCAAACCATCCATGGTCGTCGAAGCACTTGTTCAACACGTAGATTTTTCCGTTGGGCGAGCAGCAAACGCTTAGCAAGCCTGGGATCTCAAGCTTTACCGATCCTGCACCGCCCTTGAAGGTCAACAAACTGTCATCGCCAACAGCAAGGATTTCGCCTTGTGGGGTAGCTGCTACGCCTCTGCCGTTCAAAGACCCTTGTGCTGCCATAACAGACCCTGTGCCATCAGACTTCCAACTAACAAGTGCACCCATATCAATATGATAAATATCACCCTTGTGCCAGCAAAAGCGCAATTTTCCTCACTTGTGGCCCGGTGGTTCTGAATTAAACCTAGAAGAAACATGCCTCATCTTGGCTCTAAGAAAAACCTTCTTTGCTTATCTAACTTGCTGAGCTTCCATGTCCGTTGAATTCATCCTCCCAATCTCCTGCGACCCATTGGCCATACTCAAAACATCGAGGAAAGGCTCCGAGTTCTGGTGACCAACACTGCAAGCATCGCCTCTTAGCTGGACGCTCTTGCCATAGCGGCTGTCGTGCTTCATCGACCGCAAGCTGCAAGTCGAAGCCGTTTTGACCCATCGACTGCGCTAGCAAGCGGAATCTTTCCAGATTAGCTGCGGACAGCGCTCTAAAGTCAATCAGTGGTAGTAATATGCCCAAGCTGCTACTCCGTTCGCTGGAGGCTTTGAGCCAGTTGAACAGCCCCTGCAAAACCACCTCCTCACGTGTGACCCATAGATCTTCTCTTGCTAGAAGGCGTGCCAACTGCGCTGCACTGAGGCTCTTGAAGGTTGCTTGCTGCACACAGCTCTCAAAGTCACGAGCTATCTCTTCTTCACAAGCAAGCCTCAAATCTGGCAATCCCAAGGTATGAATTTCCTGGAGCAATTGTAATGCCTTGGTGCTGTCCAATGAGGCTCGCAATTCCTCAAGTTGGAATTCACCAAGTTGGCCACGAAACGTGTACAAAAAAATCTAGTGATCTTCCAATAGAATGCCCCTCATTAATGTCCATCATGATCTATCTATATAGACGACTCCAAGTACTACTCACCCTTAAATACATTGAGATTCATGGGAAACCCTCCGCGTGATATTTTGTTGGCATCACAAAAACAGCCAATCTTTCGACCAGGGTTCTGATTCGATTTCTGTCACCAGCTTTGGCAGCTCATATGCCGTAGCAAGCCGCAAGAGTTCGATGGCATTTGGTGCGGAGATGTCAGGCTCTCCACCATAGATGTGGTCAAGTAATGCATCAACAACAACATCAGAAGCAGCTATTTCGACTGGTTGTCCCAGTTGTATTTGCTGTCCTTCACTGAAAGATTCAGAAAGCAGGCCCTTCAGAGCAGAACTGGTTGCTGACAAAATATTTCTGTGGCAGCGGTGCTCTTTGCCATCACAACTCTGCAACACAACGTCACATAGATATCCTGTGGTCCAAAATTCTCGCAGCTGCTTCAGGAGGGTGGTCTGATGCCCTGAGGGCTCCCTCTGCCGAAGCTTCATGGCGGATGGAACTTGTGATCAGATCGCTGAAAAAGTAAAGCCACTGCTGACTATCATTGAGCATTACATTTCCTACATTTGATTGCCAAAGCTGTGAATTTAGACCGCATTTGACATTGTTTCACCTTCTGTTGTGTCGCTGCTGCTGTTGTTGTCGTTGCTGCTGCTGTTGTGCTTTTCACTCTGAGCTTTGTAAACAAAGAAGCCAAAAGGAGTGAGAGGAGATGATGTTTGTACATTACATGCTTGTGCACTTTGATTACCAAGGAAGAAGTCCCAAATGTCAAACCGATTCCGTAGGTTTGACAATAATTTTTTAGGGCTAGCGGCCATGAAGGTACATGCTACTTCGCAGCTAATTAAATTGTCAAGGTGTCGACTTCACTCACCCTTGAACCAGCAGGGCGACAAATGAACTGCTCAATTGCAATCTACCGTTCTCGCGTGTTCTCAATCTGAAGGCTGCCTGTCATTCGACCAAATGGCCCAGCACGCGCACTCACTTTTCAACCATGTCCAGCCGAATCCATGCGCGCTGTGAATGGTCTGCCGCCAAAGCCGGCCAGTCTTCCGCCCCACAAGATTCATCTAAGTGGCCTCGAGTTGTAACTTGTGGCCACAACATTTCGTACCATTCTTTTGCATGGCCTAAAGGCCTAAACCCACTTTTCGCCGAGTCCACTCCATTCCCCTTCAGAGGTGAGCAGCTGCGACGTCTGCTTGTTTTGCTCCTGAGAATCAATCCGATTTGGATCAGAATATGGTCAACACACATATACAAAAACCGTTTTGCTTTTTAACAAACAGTATATATATACACACATATGTAATACTGTAGCAGTATTCATCTCTTCCAATTTCTTGTATTATCTTTCTCAAATGATGCAACTCTTATACCACTTAGTTGATACGAGTGCACTCAGCACTCACTGGGACAGCTAAAACAGCGTGCAAGTCATGAGCAAACCATAAAGCATCGACCGTGAAGAAGCGAAGAACTTGATAACTCAGCTGCATCACTTCTCAGTGCCGACCTTTCTCTCTGAAGCCTTTAGACATCTGGCGCTACTTGGACTGGGGACATCTGAGGACAGGATCGCATTCATCTTACGCAAGAGAAAGATTGCGCTCTCCTTTCTGAATGTGCGAGTTCATGTTGAGGCGCCTCGAAGACACGGATCAACAATTCCACACTCTGCTTCCCGATATTGAGCACAATCATCACTCATCACACTGCCTTTTTGCAAAGCTTTGGGTTTCACACGAGCTTTTCCATGCGTTTTAGATCCAGAATTGATCTTGCCAAGGAACACTGTGGCAACCTGCGGTGGTGGTGGCGCTAGCTCCTGTTATGGAAACCAGATTGGACAACACCCTCTCAAACAAGATAAATCTAAGATAATTTCATACAATTTCAACAGTCTTGAATAGCATCTAGGGTAGAGTACACCTCCCAGGTCGTCCTACACTTACCAGTGAGTGTGACTGGTGTAGCAAATGCACGGCTACCAACTCTCAAAGATCTACAAGGATCGAAGATGTTCGACTTGTCCGTTTTGGAAGTGACAGAAGTTTTGGATTCCTTTCGAAAGTTTGTTTGTCCTCGTTGCTATCATCCTCATCCTCACTCTCCTGCATGAATAAAGAGAGGTTTAGCCTCGACACATCCCTGTGTCTCAGTATAGAGTCTAGGAACTTCCTAGCCCACAAACGCCCACAAACCATGGTTTGGGGATGTTTGGGGTGTCAAAGCAGAAACACTTGGCTGTCGGAGTAACACTCTGCAGAATCTTGGGCCCGAAGTTCAAACAATCCGGTCCGCTACTGCAGTCCGTCGGCTCGTGGCAACTCAGGATTTCGAGTGGACTGCTTGCCGCTTGCCCTTGATGGGCCAAGCGTAGCTGTTCCCAAGCATAAGATTGTCCTTTTGCCAGATTCTCCAGTTCCAATACAGAGAGCAAAAAGAGCTTCTGACAACGGTCCAATTCGGGCCAAAGCCGACAACTTGAAGGACATGCTGGCCTCCTCCTCATTTTCTTCACTGTCCTCTTTGGCTTCCTGAAACCGGGCTTTCCCAAATTGCGTCCCAAAGCAAGCTTCGTGGATTCATGTTTCAGCCTGACACACACACACACACACACGAAGTGTATACATACTTTAACTTATACTGGTGTGTGTATATATACACACAGTCTATATATTTATTATCTATAATATATTTATATATATAACTGATGTATATATATATAGTTATATAGTATTATAAATATATCAATGTTTACATGCAAACAAAAAACATCAAATAACTGTAGGATAGAGACATCTTATGACACACCAACACTCACTGACATGTCCCGCAACCAAGCACCCTTAACGCTGGGTAAATGCTAAATATATGGAGATCTTCAGATCTTGTGACACCCAGGTTGAAGGACCTCTTCAGCTTGAAGACGTCTGAGGATACCTGAGGCACCAAGGACACCAAGGTCTTGCAGATTGACATTCAGCTAGACAAAAGGCTCAAGAAGCAATGCCCGACCTCAAATCCTCAAACATCAACAGCAAATTGTTCATAGCAAAGGCATCAACAAGGCATTAGCAACAATTCCAGCATTGCTTTGGGTACCATGAGGCCATGAGGATGTTGGATGTCTTTTCCACACAATCAGCTACTCATTTAAGGCCTTTCAAATAGAGTATTCATCATTCAGTTTGCTTACCGGGGATTTAATCTTGGCTTTAGACGCCTTAGATTAAACGTCCATGTATAGAATGGCAGGATGCTCTTATTTCGAGCAGCTACATGTTCCAGCAAACAAAAACAACACATTCTTTGTTGCTTGTAAACCACTCTGCAAAAAACACGCAAACATAACTCATCCCTCAATCTCAAACTCTGCGGCCATTGTGCGCATCAATTTAGCCACAAAAAGGCCGGTCCCGGAGGCAGCAATGGAACTTTCCACTGCGACAGCCTTATCTGTGGAACATTCCAGTGTCGCCAGGGCGGCAACAAATGCAATTGATGCAACATGATCTATTCTGTGCTGATACCAATAGACACTTCTTGAACTTTGACCCAATATCATTGGTGTCTCCCTGCAACAATGCAGTCAAAACAAGTGTTTCTTGGACAGTCTTGGGTTTGTGTTCTCGGGGCACTTCGTGGTCAGGCTCTGGAAAGCTTTAAAAGTGTGTGTGTGTAATCTTTGGAGTCACAAAGTTCCTGTTGGAGCGCTTCTTTCGACTTTTCAGCAGGGGGGCAGAGGGATCTCCAGCTGTGGCCTCTGCCAACGAAGCTCCACTCTGGACGATCAGGAAAACGTACCTGCTTGGTGCACCTGGGCGCATAGTAAGACGCAGCTGGTGGCCACCTTTTCCACTTTAATTCTGCAGATGTGCACGGACCGTCGTCAGATTGTCGCGTTTACGCATTTCGAGCTCGTGGGCCTGGGAGGTTCCTTGGAAGGTTCTAGGCGTTCACTGCTAGGTGGGCGTGTGGCATGTGGCATTCAGGTCAGTACGCATTTCTTTTAGTGTGTCTCTCTTGTGAGAGCCCAGGGTGAGCCCGCAGAGTGCCCCCTGTGGACCCGTTGAACGGGGGTTTGTCGGACGTATCCCCTGCCCGGATACAGAGCAGCTCGCAGCGAGCGTAGGAGGCTTATGCCAAAATTATTTGCCAAGACTTGCTGCATTATTAAGTACAAGTAGGCAGCTTTCGAGCAAGCCATTAGGTGACCGGAGCGGTCTGAGCAGGCAGCCATTTTGGCACGGCGCAGGGTGACCAGAGCGGTCAAAGCATTTTAGGATCCATTGGGACCCGTCGCCACCTCAGGTGCACACACAGCACGTACATCTTCAACGAGGTTTGCCTAGGTTTTCTAATGAGGCTTGGGTTCATTGGTTTTCGTCCCCTCCATTTGGTTTCACTTTTCATCCTTTCCCCTTTGCACACTTTTGTTTTCATCTTTTCTTTCATGTCCTCCTGTCGTTTGCGCACACATTGGCCCTGGCCTTAGTGCAAGGTTTTAGGTCGCCCAGGTCTTGACAATGAGGTGGGGTTCATCGGTTATCCCTGTGCACTTGGTTTCTTTTTCATTGCAGCCAAATACACCTTTGTCCCGTCTCGTCCTCTTTTTCATGTCTTCATCCTTTTGTCTTTGCTGCACCCACACTTTCACAACCGTCCTAGCCTTAATTCTTTTTGCCCCCCTCGGCGGGGCGTGTGTGTGTAACCTTTGGAGTCACGTTGGAGTGTGTCTTTCGTTTTTTAAGCAGGGGGGCAGAGGGATCTCCAGTTGTGGCCTCTGCCAACGAAGCTCCACTCTGGATGATCAGGAAAACATACCTGCTTGGTGCACCTGGGCGCATAGTAAGACGCAGTTGGTGGCCACCTTTTCCATTTTTATTCTGCAGATGTGCACGGACCGTCGTCAGATTGTCGCGTTTACGCAGTTCGAGTTCGTGGGCCTTGGAGGTTCCTTGGAAGGTTCGTCAGTTACCACCTAATTAACCTGAACCCTTAGGCGTTCACTGCTAGGTGGGCGTGTGGCATGTGGCATTCAGTTCAGTACGCATTTCTATAAGTGTGTGTGATGCGTGTCAATGTGGGCAGCAAGCATTGCTTGCACTTCAGCATAGACTACAATTGTGGTCAGCACAAGGTTTTCAGTTGCTGGTTTCGGTGTTCGCAGTGACTTGATCCAAGGTTAGCCTCTTTCAAATTTGCTGTGCCCGCATGCACTGGTTCCCTGCCTGGCTGGCTCACCACAACTCCGCTTGTTGAAACCACATTGGAGTTAGCTGTTGGTTGGTTTCAACACTTTGGGTGTGACATGTCATCAAATGAGCATGCACTGTGTTTGCTCAGCGCACCTGTTCTTCCCTTCCCCACTATTATATACTTTCTCCTGCTGGCTAGATCGTTGGCAAATATGATCAAACATGCGTATTGGCGTATTGGTATATACATATCTATATCAAGAACTTGCGTGAGGCCCGGGTGCCCTGGTTAGCTTGCCGTCTAAGAAGCTACCCGAAGCTGTTGTCGGCGTTGCAGGAGCTGCTCAGTCGTCCAAAGAAAGCTGCCCTGAAGTCGCCGGCATACAGTAGATGAAGTTAAATCCGTACTTTCTAAGTCGACTGAAACTGTCGTCAAGATTCTGGAATTTGCTTGTGCTCCTTTCGTCTTGCTTGCCAAATGTGGGTTGCAAGACAGGCCACTCTCTGATTCTCGACACCGTGCGCCTGGACAGGCCTCTCCAAAAACGAGGCTGCAAGGGCCGGGTGGTGCGGCACCTGGCTGCGATGGCGGCGCCTTTCTTTCGAGACGCCCAACTGCAAAGATCTGCTTTGAGTTAGGAATACCCGCAGCATAATTGATCAGTACACTCAAGCATGCCTCGGTTGCATGTTCCATACCACTGGCATGTACACTGGCTGCATGCGGAAAGCTGTCCTGGAAGGTGCGGAACGTTGGATGCAATGAGCACGGTGCTCCACAGAAACCTCATGAACGAAGAGGACCAGGACTCGAACAAACTCCTTACGGAACCATTTGGCTTGAACCCAAGGTTTGAAGAAACACATGTCTCTGAAGAAGCACAAGTCAAAGAGGTTCATGTGTGAAGTCTTGAGGAGTTCTGACGTGCAAGTCAGGTCAATATGCAACTGCTCCTCGTGCCAGTGGCCCCACCACGAGGACAGCAACCCATCTACCGCATGCACGAAGTCTGACTCAAAGGGCATGGCGCCACTGCTATTCAGCCGGTTTGCATCCAAGCCTTTTTAAAACTGCATCCACCAAAGTGGTTTTGCTTCCAAGTCTGTAGGTCTCAAATTCTATAGCGATGGCCTCCAAGTGTGCAAATTGATTGATATTGATTGTGGTTGACACCTGATGAGAGCCGCTGGCAAACATAGGAATCACTTGCCATCCTGACAGGAACTTCATGCTGGGTCAGAAAAGGAGCCAGCTGTGCTGTGGGCCAAAACCACCAAAGCCAAAGAAAGGAGACCTAAGCCCATGGTTCAAACACAACTGTACAAGGTACCTGTCGATTCCATAGCATATAATTGCAATGGAATTCTGACTTCTGGCCTTCGTACTTGCTGCCACAATCGAAAGCTACATGACTCCCTGATGATTTCCTTCAAATCTCTGCAGTGACTTGAGCCACTATGTGTACTCTTTCAACTTCCGACTCACTTCGGGTGGTGCCTCTGTAGGTGCCTCCCGGTCCCTGATCTTGGCATTTGCGCCAAAGCGTTGGGTGATTCAGCATGTCATGTGTCAGCTATCACACGCTATCACCTACATCGCAGTAGCTGGACACAAGGAACATTAGAAAACAAGCTTTGCAGTTTTCTGTGTGCATACAATCTATCGACAATCTGTGCTACATATATGTCACTTGGCAGCCCGGTTTTGGGCGCGCTTGCCTGGTTTTGCGGCGGCTGTGGCCATCAGCCTGGCATAGTGCGCTACAAACCGCTGCGCAAATCTTCGTCTGTTTCTACTCTGGATAACGACAATCCCGCGCAGAATGCAAATTACTATATCCACATCGGCGCAAACTTGTCTTGGAGAAGCTAGCAAGGGTCTGTTCTCCCTGTGCTGGCACCTCAACGAGAGTCTCTTCTGCTCCTGTGGCTGTGGGAGCTGTGAATGGCCGAAGCCGTCTGAGATGGTTTCTTTGAAGTTTTGCCGTCTTGAACCCATTTCTTGCCATCAAAAACAGCATACATTGGCATACATAATATATCAAAGCAGGATTCATCATGGAACAACCCTACAATCAAACTGAGAGCACCAAAGTATCAAGACACGTACAGTGAATTTCCCCACATGACTAACACAAATTGAATGGACGTTCCCCATCAAAATGTCAGTTTCTATGGAATGTTGATGTCAATGTTGGTGGTTCGAAACGCAGTCCACACGGGCCACATCAGCCCACAGTAAGGCCAGGATCAGGAAACAAAGAAATGTAGAAACATGCTACATAAAGGATCTTGTGCCTAAAAGATGAGTGGAGTCTCATGGTGGTCGCCCTCGGCACGGACGTCTGCTACACTATCCAGCCACGCACCTAGAAAAGGGTGTGAGCCCTAAAAGATCCAGGCAAGGACGCTACTAGTAGCAAAGGGCATCGCTACTAGGAGCAAGGACGCTACTAGGGGCTCCTGGCCTTACTACTAGGAACAATAAAGCTACTTTAAGGTT